AGCCCTGGGTGCTGGAGCAGCCGTGTGGAGACCCCTGCTAGTGCTGAGATGCTTATTCGTTCACTGACTCAGCTTTCCTTCTGCAGTCGGCATCATTGCCTCTGTTTTGTGAGGTGGAGGACTTTGTGGACTGGTGTTGGGTTAATGGGTTAATGTTGGACTTGTGGGCTTGGGCAGCACTGGGTTGGGATGTTTTCGTGATGCACATTTTCTTTACATAAAGCTCTCTTATACATGAGTTGCTGTGGATTTGTTTCTCTAAAGTACCTAGACTAATATACTGTCTTAGCTTCGATTCTTTCTTATATAAAGTCCGCTGTACTCATGTAACATGTTCTTTCCTTTAAGTGTTTTTGAGGTTTTTTTCCCCTTTATTTTTATTTTTCAGCAGTTTAGCTTTCATATTATGTCTATGTATGGTATCATCTGTATGTATCATATCATATCATATATCATATCATCAGCTTGAGGTTTTCTGAATTTCTGGCAGTTTTTTGTTCAATAAAACTGGGAAATTTCAGTCATTATATATCCAAACATTTATTTTCTTAATCTCTTATCAGGAAATGCAAATCATATATGTTAGACTGTTTTACATTATATGTCCCTGAAGTCATTAGTTTGTAGGTCCTTTTTCAGGACCCCACCCCGACTCAGCAAAAGAAGTTAATTCCAAAAGACCACAAATTGTACAGTTCCATTTACGTGAAGTGTCCAGAACCGGCAATACTACAGAGCCCAAAAGTACGTGGTACAGGGATCAGCCACGGCTGGTGGGGACAGAAGGATGGGGTGACTACTGAAAAAATGCCAGGTTTATTTTCAGGTGTTAAAAATATTCTAAAATTGATGTGCTTGTTGTATAACTGTGAATACACTGGAAGTCACTGAAGAGGGAGGGCTATCTTATCTAGCTAGCTAGTCTTATTTAGGTATTTTTCCCATGAGCTTTTTTTTAAATAAACGGTTTTATTGGGACATAATCCAAATATCATACAACTCAATAGTTCAATCCTATCAAGAATAGTTGTAAGGAGGGCACATTAAATAGGTAAATTATATAGTATGCGAATTCCATCTCAGTAAAAGTTTTAAAAAACAGAGGCTAGGTCTCCTGATGCAAAATCTGTGTCTTTTATACTACATGTAATATTTTATAATTCCTTTTGTTTATATTTATATGGTTTTAAACTTTACCTATTTAAATGTATTAAATAAATATTAATTATTCTATGTTTTTCTTTGGGCTTTTTCAGTAAATGACAGCATCAAATAATATGTGGAAACACACTTGGGTTTTGCAATGACAGATAACTCAATCCTACAATTAGTTATAGTGAAATTATCAAACGCTTTCTTCTAAATGTTGCTTTAAGGCTAACAATCTTTCACATCCATTGGGTCAAATCAATTTTTTCCACAGCAATGTTAGGTGGGTAGACTGTCAGACCAGGACCCTGAGGCTCAAAGAGGTAAACTGTCTCAAGGTAACACAAATGCATGTGGAGTTCACTTATCCTCTCACTGCCACTGAGTCCACCCACTGCCCCTATGGGTTTCCCACACAGTCGCTCCTTATTAGAGTAGAAAACCTCATCTTTCTCATGCAAAAGCAGCTGGTTGGTTTTGAACTATTGATTTTGTAGTTTACATTCCAAGGAGTAACCAGTATGCCATCAGGGCTCCTACTTCACTTAACCCATGAACTTTAATTCTAAATCTAGTATTTTTCTAATCTACTAATCTACGTCAAAAGGACCTATTCTCTCCTGTACTCCCCACCCCCAGGACAGCAAGCATCTGCTTTGTCGATTCCCAGGGAGATGCCATGTGTTTCAGAGCAGGACTGCACTCCACAGGGTTTTCCATGGCTGTGACCTTCTGGAAGCACATTGCTGGGCCTCACTTCCAAAGACAGAGCCTCTGCTCTGCTCTTCTATTGACACACTAAACATCAGGGGCAAAGGAAGGAGGTGTAGACATGCAACCATTTCCTTCGCTCTCATTTCTCAGTAAATTGAAAGCTCAACCATGCTTACTAGCCAGTAGGGGCAAATTTATAGCACTGCTTTCTCCAAATAACTCTATGGTTATTTCCATTTAGATAAACCAACTTGAAAGCAGAGAATAATTTTTAATGTCTACCCTATACAATCTAATTGCCTTTGTTGAAACTACGCACAGAGTTTAAAAGTCTCTGATGTGCTCTGCTCAGTTATCAGAACTGGAACTACTTTTATTCCACATGGATTTCTGTATTAAGGTTTTTGCCTATTTTAACAAATATTGTGTATGCCCTCATTCATAATACGTTGCGAGAAAACCTAAACTATGGCTTGCTACAGATAATAACTAATTCTAACGATGGGTAAAGTTCTTTCTTTAAAAGAAGGTCACCAGAAAACGCGTGCAAGGTAAGGTGCCCTGGCCTTGGAAAACTGCTCTCTCTCCAGGAAAAGACGGAGACATTTCTGGAAAGATGTCTATTTCTGGCAAACGATTTGAGGTGAGTCGCTATGGCCTTGTGTGTAACTGTACAGCAGTTTCCATATTCGTTTTTCCCCTCCATGGCAGATTGGAATAAGTAGCTGAATTTCACCTTCGTGAAAAAAGTAAGGATTAACAGGTACAGGAAAAAAGTAAGATGATAAAATAACTAATCAAACAAATCTTGGATGTGCATTAATACAAAGAACCCTTAACTAGAAGTTAGAAGATCTGTGTGATAGTCTTGATTCTGCAGCTTGCTTATTTGTGTAATTTTGAAAAAGTAATTTTCACTTGTTTATCCTGTTCCTATTTCGCAAAGGAGTTGTGGGACTCATCCTTTAAGCTTACGGTGAGGATGAAATGCAATGGCATCTACAACTTGATAAGTTCTATGCACACACACACACACACAAGAAGGTAAATAAAAAGCACTGGTGCAAAATTATGGAATTTTTTACTAAACAAAAACATCAAAATGTGAAGTTGTTGTTTCTCAACATATCTTGGCCCACATACTTCTGAAGGCTGTGTTTTCATCTGTTGAACTTTCCCCCAAAAGGCCCTGTGCTCTGATGTACACACTAGTGAAAATGGCAGTCTGGCATCCTTGAGGATGCAAATCAGGTTCCCTTTCAATGTTCTTTGAGTTTGGGGAACAAGAAGCCATGTGAAGGGGCAAGATCTGGGCTGAAGGACAGGTGAGGTAAAGCTCCCAATGCAACTGTCATGGGGCAGCCCCGGCTACCCTTGAAGAATGAGCAGGCACATCGTTGTCACAGGGGAAAAAATCCTCAGCACAACTTTCCTGGCCTCTTTTCACCACTGCAGTTTTGTTTCCTTAAACCTCTTCATCAAAAGCCCCATGATTGTCCTGTGTCCTTCAAGAAAATCCATCAAGATCACCCCTTTGGAATTTCAAATGTAGTCACAATAACCTCGGCTGACCTCTCTGAGTCGAATTTAACTGTTTCAGCAGACCTCCCCGGAAGCCACTGTTCCAACAGCACTTTTATTTTGAAAGCACCCAGATGAGACGAAGACCAGTGTACCAGTGAGAGAGCCTGTCTGCCACCATCCACTGATCACAGTCACGCTGAAATGTGTCTTATTTGGAATAAGTAAGCCCTTAGAACCTCAGGAGCAGTAATTTTTTACTTACCTTCATACATGCTCTGCCAATATCTATTAGTGGAATTCAACCAACCTAATTCAACTGAACTCACAAAAATTTAAGACACTACAGAGCAAAAAGTGAACAAGCCACAACCTTTTTTGTCTCCTAGGAATTCATAATTGTAAGAGGAGATAAACATTAAAATTACACTCTAAAGGGGTAAATAAGATAATAGAGATGTATATGCCAAATGCAGTGGGAATCCATCAAAGTGATAAGCTAGACTTACCTGAGAGAGACAGGGCGAACGCCAGAGAGATAACAACTGGCTTAAAGGAAGAGGTCGAGTTGCTAGAACTCTATCCAGACCATAAGCTTCATGATAGAACACACAAAATCACAAGCTGCTTGTAGTACAACTTGCTTTGCTTTCACTAGTTCAAACTAGCACTTAACCTATTTGGATCTCTCTTACCACAAGTCTAAATGGAAGGGTTTCGACTGGATGAACTCTAACTCCTCCAGTTCTAAAAGTAAATGATTTTAGGAGCCAAACTCTGGTCATTGTACAGATACCAAGAAAAAGAAATCAAGAGAACAATAAAAAATAAAATAAAATAAAAAGCACTGCCATCGAGTTGTTTGCAACTGATGGCAACTCTCTAGGGCACAGTAGAGTTATCCCTGAGGCTGTAATCTTTACAGGAGTAGAAAGTCTCATCTTTTTCCCGAGGAAGAGCTGGTGGGTTCAAACTGCTGACCTTGCAAATAGCAGCCCAATGTGTAAACCACAGAACTAGGGACAAAAAAGGTTCTCCCATTAACTACTCTTTCTTGGACTTTAAGAGTCTACGAATGATCCGCATCTCTGCGTAGAAGAAGCGCCAGCACAGTGAAGAGCAGAAACTGGAATGGCATCAAGAAGCTGAGCTGCACGCAACCATGCAGGGTATCGGGAAGCGAAGCACTCCCTGCAGCAGAGATGGAGGTTAGCTCCAGTAAGGAAACAGGTAGTAAAGACAGAGTCACATCCTTACACTCACTCCTGTTTACATGACATTGCTTTGACAAAGACACCCCCCAATAAGACCCTAACCAGACACTCATATTTACCGTCTCATAAAATGTTTGGGTGCTTGCCTTGCTAAACCACTTCTTGGCGGGGAAAACGCTGTTTGCATGAAGAGATCATTTAGGGATTACAACAACAGAAGGCTCAACACCAACTAAACCAACTGGATGCGCGCAAGAGCTGTGCTGAGGGAACACTGTCAGGTCATCCAGTTCTCCAAACACTCATCCGACTCTGTCTCTCTCCCAGTGCTAGCTGCTGTGCCACACGGCTCCGTCCCCCAGGGGCGCGCTCCTGTCCGGAAGGAGGAAGAGCACCGCTTACCCGTCGATGATGCTTTCCGCTGGGTGCTTTTCATCACTTGACGTAGCTAAAACCACTTCGGTCCCTTCAGAACTCAAACAGAGATCAACCTTTCTCATCGTAAGGCCCTTAACCTGCAAAAGAGCAAGCCAAAACAAACGTAACAGTGAATGCTTGCTGGTTCTCCTCTTTCTCTTCTGGGAGAGGCAGAGAGCGGGAAGGGTGTTGCCAGGCAAACCTTCTGTTTAACAACCTAGCTATTCAACAAGGGAGGGATCCTGGCATGCTTGTTTACATACGTAAACTGCTAAGCTGGTCCAAGGATAAATCGACTGGACTTTTGCCACCTGTTCAGCTCCTCAAAACAAGTCCTTGATTAACATAATTGCCATCATTTTTCTGCTAAAATTAAAAGCCCTCAGTATTTTTATGGAAATGGTTAGCAAGCAAGAGTGACATGAAAGGGTGGATTAATTTTAACAGTTTTTATTTATAGTTGTAATATTTCTAAAATTAGCAAAAATCTGCAGGATAAAAATAATTGTTTTGTGACTGCTTATCTATGCATTTATTGACTGACCTGGCAAACAATTTTATTTACACCTTAGCCTCATTTGTTTTCTTTCTTGTTGAGCTGGTGCTTGAAAGAAGACAGTCTTGCTTTTCCTTTTAGAAGTGAAAAACAATCACGTGGAAAGATTATTATAAACTTGATTACGGTGGATGGAACTATTTGATATGATAGGGTACCTGGTCAGCTGATCTTCCTCTTGATCCATTCTGGATTTGTCCAAGGTTTAAATATTTCTAGCTGGTTTTTCTCTCTAGCTTATGTGATTATGTCCGTAAATCAGACTGGCCTGTAAAATCCCATTAATGCAGCACATGTCTGGCTTTGGAGGCAAGACTGTACTACCCACAGGAAAGCGGAGACTTTCCCTCCTTTCCTAGTTGTTGGGAAATCTGTCTAAGGCAGTGGCTATTTAAGGAAACCTAGTGGTTCAGTGGGTTAAGTGGTTGTCTGCTAATGAAATGGTGTGGAGTTCAAACAGCCCAGCCTCTCCACAGGAGATAGGTGCTCACCAGCCTGCCCGTCAGGACTTGCAGACTTGGAAAAGCCCTATGCGGCAATTCTTTTCTGTATTATAGTCATTCAGAGTTTTAATCAACTTGGTGGCAATGAGAGCAGTAGGGGCTATGGGTTCCTTTAAGCCTAGTGAAGTGTTTGTGGGTAGATTTTTGACTGATCCAAGTACCAATGGTTCTTTTCAGACTGCATACTTTTGAGTTTATTTTGATGATCTATAACCCAAACCAAACCAAACTCACTGCCACAGAGTCAATGATGGCTCCGAGTAACCCCACAGGGCAAGACAGAACTGCCTTTGTGGGTTTTCGAGACAGTATCTCTTCACAGGAGCAGACAGCCTCACCTTCCTCCCCAGGAGCAGCTAGTGTTTGCCAGCGGCTGACCTAGTGGTGAGCAGCCCAGTGTGTAACCACGACACCACCAGGGCTCCTCATTTAGCTAGAATTGGTAGAAGATGATCCATTTCTTCTTAGCTTTTATATTTAGTGACATGGAGTTGTTCGTGTTCTATTGTAACTAGTCTCCACAGTATTAAAAGCAATGGTTACAGCACCAGGACTCACATTGGTCTGTATGAATACAAGAGTCAAACTTTGCTTTGTCACACTTCAGGTAAATTTCTTCCTTATCCTTAGCTAAACCTAAGTTCCTGTCCTGGCTGAACACATAACTGCTCAGTTATGGGCCATTGGTGGCAAACATTTTCAATATTCTTCACCTCAAAGCCATCTCCCGGGAAGCACACCCTGTCAGCTTTATTTGTGTGTGTGAGTTTTAAAAAGCAGATATGATGGTGACTGAATTGAGAGCACTGCACAGAGCTACTGATTGTCAGAGTCACTACGCATTAGCTTTTAAAAAGTAATTTTCCAACAAATCGAAAGCAACAATTCTCGGCAAGGATGTGGAGGAACTGGAATCTTCATGCGCTGCTGGTGCAACTGTAAAATGCAGCAACCACTGTGGTCAGAGCATGGTGGCGTCTCAAAAAGTTAAAACACAGAACGGCCAGGTGGCCCAGAAACCCCACTTCCAGGTATCTATCCACAAGGACTGAAAGCTGCGTCAAACAGTTATTTACACACCACTGTTCACTGGTGGGGCACAGCTCACAACAGCTACAAGGTGGAAACAATCCTACTGTCTATTAATAGATGACTAAAGAAAATGATACAAAACTGCCATTGAGTCCGTTCTGATTCTAACAGCCTACCAGACAGGCAGAGCAGCCTCTGTGGGTTTCTAAGCTGTAACTCTTTATGGGAGTAGAAAGCCTTATCTTTCTCTCACAGAGCAGCTGGTGATTTTGAAATGCTGATCTTGTGTTTATCAGCTCAACATGTAACTCCCTACTACCCCACCAAGGTTCCTCTATCACACATACCACCACCACCACCACCACCAACACACACACACACACACACACAGATTATTTTGTCCGAAATAAGCTGGTCACAAATGGATGAACGTTCTATGAGACCACTTAGAAATGAATTCTCCAGAAAAAGCAAATAAATTGAAATTTAATTATTAGTGGTTACTTAACAGGGGAAACGGGGACGTACAGGTAGGTAGTCTCTGACCTATGTGTCCCAGTTATAAAGAACAGTATTTGGATAAAAGACATCTTATTGTAATATAAACTACAAACAATGCTGCAATGTATAATTTACTGAAGTTATCGTTCTCAGATGTTCACTCACAGAACCAGCAGAAGTTTTTTTCAAACTAAATCAGGAGGTCTCCAGATCCTGGAAACATGGACCTAAAATGATTATTTTGCTAAAGCTAGTGGGTGACTGCGGAAACAGTGAGATGTCATCCCAAACATGTGACAGAAAACAGCGAAGGACTATGCGGACAACCCTCACTAGTTTTCTACTAGAAACTGCATCCCCATTCTCTGGATAAGCTTCAGAATCTTCCACAATTCGAGTCATTATTGTAACTGACACAATGCCATCATCCGACTCTTGATCGTTGAGTACATTTTTATGATTTGTGTACTTTTTAATTATAAATGTTAAGGAGCCCGGGCCATACTGTGGGATAAGTGTTAGGCTGCTAATTGCATGGTCAATAGTTCAAAACCCACCAGGCTGCTCCTTGGGAGAAAGGTGAGGTTGGCCTGCTCCTGTGAAGAGTTACATACAGGGTCACTATGAGCAAAAATGAATTTGAGGGCAGTGGGTTTTAGCTTATTTATAACATTGGAAAGTTTTCCAACAGTCAAAGGTGAGACATAGATACTGACAATACCCCAAATCTCCTGACCTTGAGCCCATTTTGATTCCCAGTGACCCCCAGGGCAGAGCAGAGCGGCTCCCTGGGCTTCCCAAGGCGGTCCTTTCCACAGGAGCGTCTTTCTCCTCAGAGCTCAACCAGCGACCCACTACACAAACTATGCTCCCTCAAGATGCCGGTAAGAAAAGGCCAAAATAAACAATAAAGAAAAAGACAAAAAAGAGATGTGACTTAGGTCAGAGCCATCTGTAACAGTCATGAGAACACAACCTCCAGCTAAGCTGCGTAAAGGGTAAACGCGTGTCTGTTAAGGGTGAAGACGTTTGGACGTGGGCTGAAGTGATGCTTGTATATACCATTAGTAACCCAGCCAAGGTCACTGAGTGGACATGTACAAGACAAGGATGTGCCCTGTCCCCACTTCTATTCAATATTGTTCTGGAGGTTCTGGCTAACAACATAAGACAGCGGAAGGACATCAAAGGGATCCAAATGGGTGAGGAGGAGGTGAAATTATCGCTATTTGCAGACGACATGATCCTGTACATTGAAAACCCTGAAAGTTCCACAGTAGGAGTACTTACAGGGACAGAGGAATATGGAAGAGTGGCAGGATACAAGATCAAGGTACATGCACAAATGACCAAAATGGTGTCTTTTAGTGTAAATTGTTTTATATGTTTTGTTGCACGTTACCAAAGTTAAAAAAATTAACAAACTATTAATAGGGAGGGCAATAAAATTGGTGAGGGAAAAAGGTCTACATTCTAATATTATTTATTAATAATACATATTATTTCATTTTTCCTTGATCAGCCTTACAACCACCTTTAATAGTCAATATCACAGAGCTGGAGATGGGTAAACATTGCTAACCCTTAGTTTGAAGAGGAGAAATATAGTGTGGTCCTGAATACAGTCTGATACATCGGGATGTCAAATATCCACAAAATTCTACAATTATTAAATTTCATTAATAAAATTATGGTCTTGAAAATGTCAACAATAAAGACGTAAAAATTTGGAAACACCAAGGCCATGATCCTTGGTCTCCTCATGCCTGACACTGAACACACACAACCGTGCCTCACCCTTCGGCTGATAGATCTATATGAGGTGAACAATGACATCCGGAGGTATGCGTTCCTTACAACTGGCAACCATATGAGATCAAAAGGGTTGCCTTTGCTCAGGGATGAAGCTCAGAGGCAGCCAGGAATAGGCAGGCGGCCAAATGAAAATGGGAACTACAGGGAGGAGTGGGAAGTGTGCTGTTACACGCAAGGTCTGTAATCAAGGTCACAAATCAAAATGTGTATGAATTGTTGAATGATAAATCAATTCACTCTGTAAATTGTCACACAAATTACAATAAAGTCAAACACACACACAACCAATGAAGTAATAAAATTGGCAGCAGTAATAACTTTTTTTAAAAAAATAATGGGAATACTAATGCACAAGTTTTACCAAACCAGTTTCATTTCTTCTGGTTTGTTGGATAGACTTACTACCAATCAGGGAGATGTTATCAACATTTAAACAAAGCTTCAAAGCTTCCCAATATTGAATATACCGATTAGAGGGAGAAACGTGGTAGGGTGACAGTATTTTAGGTGGATACCTTAAACCAGACGTCCTCAAATTACGACCCATGAGCCACATGTGGCCTGCCTACATTTATCCGGCCCACTGGGTGTTTCTGCCCCGTTTGTTTAATTCAAAATAAGATACGTGAAGTGTGCATAGGAATTTGTTCATAGCTTTTTTTTAAACTATAGTCCGGCCCTCCAACGGGCCCCCTGCTTATAAAGTTTGAGGACCCCTGCTTTAAATTCTGAAAGGTTGCACTCATAGTATGATATATATTGGAACAAAAGGAACTTGTAGAAAACCTGTATTCTTGTCATCATTATTAGGGACACTAAAAGTATGCTTGCTGGTTTTACAGATGAGATCAAGGGATGATGTCAGCTAATGCACTATTTTATAGAAGTCACTCAAAAAAGATCTAAACCCCACTGTGGTCAAATTGATTCTAACTCAAAGCAACTCTATTAGGACAGAGCAGAACTGCCTCACAGAATTCCCTGGGCTGGCATCTTCATGAAAGCAGATGGCCACATCGTTCCCCAAAAGATCTTGACATACTACAAAGATAGCTGCAATTAATAAGATTTTCAATAAAGGTAAGACTTCAGATCTATACTCTGGTCTTCAAATCAATTATATAGCATAGTCTGGATCAGAGGTGGGCCAAATCTGACCTGCCCCATTTTTGCATGACCCACAAATAGTTTGTACATTTTGAAATATCTATTTTTTCATCAAAAGACTATGTGGTGACCCATGAAAAGTACATGAAATTAAAATTAAAGTGCTGATGAATGAAGTTTTATTGGAACATGCCTAACTCTTTTATACTGTAAAGCTACTTTCTTGCTACAATGATAAGAGTGAAGCAGTGACAGAGATACCAGGCCTGTAAAACCTAAAATATTTATTATCTGGCCATTACAGAAATGTGTGGCCACCCTTTGTCTAGATGTCTGTAGCTTATAGGTTTGGTCACAAGTCAATATGAGACAACAGTGTGCTCTCCCCCCAAAAGTCAAGGTGTACTTGAGATCAAGAATAGTTAGGATGGTTTATTTAATCAATGTTTATTGAACATCTAAGTGCCAGGCACTGTGCTAGTAATACAAACATGAATATAACTTAAGACAAAGATGAAAGACAAAGGCTTGATTCTTGTCGAGAAGCTCAGTGAAGGAAGATAAACATACCACTAGTAATACCAGCTACATGCTAGCACAGTGCTTCACATCCAGAATACGCTGTTCTGTTTGGGAGAGTATATTTCAGTATACTTATTTTACAGTATTTGTTTTATGATAGCTTAATGTATACATTAATATAGTATATAAGTGCTTGATTTCATACCCTTTGCCTCAGTTCGGGGCCATTTTTTTTTGGTCTTTAACGTCATTTGAAATTTTATTAATCACAAGAATCCAAGCAGTAAGAATCACCATAGAGAACAATCTGCATCTCATTTTTGAAGTTTAAGGCAAAAAAGAAATTCCACCCGAGCCTTGTCACCTCCAGCTGACCTCAGTAGGTGCTGCCTACTCTTCCGTCGGAGTTCGGGGCCATTTTAAGACCTCTGAGGAACCTAAACAGCCGTACCTTTGAGGCTGTCTCCAATTACACAAAGTAGAGCCAATGTACTCACAGCCAACATGCAATCTATTTCCCAGCGAGAACGAGGTGCTGGAGTGCATGGGTCGGGTACGTGTTCGGCTGCTAACCAAAGAGGCGGCAGACAGTTGCTCCGGGTGCGGTGGGGCAGCTACGAGTCCGCATGGAAGGGGGGGAGGGGAAACCCGGCGAGGTAGGTTAAGTGGCAACCACGGCAGCACGACGGCCTAACTTCTTTTTACTCCTATTGTTGTTTTTCCTTGGAGGAATGAAAAGAACGACTGTCCGGGGCTCACACCAGTTTGCAGCGGGCCCTTGTCAATCGAGGGCCTGAGGGCCCGGCCTCGACCACCGTCACCCGGACACTCCCGCGAGCCTCCGCCCCATTATGCCCCCCGCCGTCTGCCACGCCCAGCCGGGCTCCACTCCCCGCGCAGCTGGCCCAGCCCGGCCCGGCCCGGTCACCCGCTCGCCGGGGCCTCCCGTTAGCGGCCGGCTCACGGACCGCCCCGCCCGGGCCGCGCTCCCAGGCCCCACCCCTCACGCCCTCCGGCCTCCGCCGGTTCTCCCCGGTCCAGGCCCTTCCCTCCGGCTCGCGCCACCCCGTCCGCGGGGCTTTCCCCGGCGAGCCGGCGGTCCAGACCCGCCCCAGAGCCTGCCTCAGGCAAGTGCCGGGACACGTGCGGCCTGCCCTCCCCCACGCCGCTCTGCCCGGTCGCCTCGGGAAGACCCAGGGAGTCGGCGCGGACACGCGGAGCACGCACGCGCACACCGCACCTCTCCTGGTTCAGCGTCCTCCGCGCTCAGGTCGCCGGCCCAGGCTACGGCCCCGCCCCCAGGCCCGACCCCGCCCCTCACGGCGGGACCCGCGCAAGCGCGCCTCCCCTGCCCCGCCCTTCCCCCGCCCCCGCCGGGCCCGCGGTCCCACGGCGCCAGGTTGCCCCCAGCCCCCTCCCGCCTTCCACTCTCTCTCGTCCCACCCTCTTTAGCTTTGTGCCGCGAGCTCCGAGCCGCTGGCCCCTCAGCCGCGCCGTGGGAGGAGGGAGCCGCTACAGGGGAGCTGCCACTCGGTGCTCCGGGCAGGGGCACAGGTAGGTGGCGGCAGCGGGCAGGGCCGGTCAGGGAGCCGGGCACTGCGAGTGGGGACGGGGGAGGGGTGTCAGGGGGCGGAGTGGGGGAGGGGGAGACTTGAGGGACTACGGAAGGGGTGCGAATGGGGTGTGGGGTGGCAGAGGGACGTGAGGGTGGGCGAATAGGAGTGTGGGCGGTGGATGTGAGGGCGGGGTCGGGGTGCAAGGGGCCGATACGGGGTGAGAATTGGGGTTTGGGCCCGAGTGGGACGAAGAGAATGGATGGGATTCGTTTCGCCGGACTCGGAGGGAAATGCGTAGGAGTTGAGGTGAGGATGGAGGATTGCAGTGGGAGGGAGGGGGACAGTGGAATTAGAGGGGTGTATGGAGGAGAGCAGGTGAGATTGGGGGGTGGGGAGGAGAAGTTGGGGTTTTGGATTGTGAAGTTGGGGGAGATGAGGCTGGTTCAGGGAGGGGATTTTGAACGTTGAGGGCAGAAGACAGAGAAAGGATTGGAGAGACTGGAATTCTGGGGGCAGAGAAGCCCTGAGAGTTGGAGGAAGTAGAGGGGAAGGGGTGGGGTGGGGTGCGGTGGTGGAGAGGCCAGAGGAGGCAGATAGGGTTGGGTATAGGATGGAGAGAGCCAGATTTCAGAGCTGGTGTGGAAGGATCTGGGTTGGGAAAGATGGGAGCTAGGCGTGGATGAAAGGAGGGGTTAGGCCTTTGGAGGTGGGAATTGGATTTTGGGAAAAGCTCTTAGGCTGGCAGGTTGAAAAAATTGAGTGCCAAGATGGGAGAGAGATGGGAGAGATTGGAAAGCAGGGAGCTGTGGGTAGTGTGACCTTCTGGAATTTAGGAGAAGAAAGGGTATAGAAGAGAAAGGAGGGGGGAAAGTTCAAGTTAAAGGGAAAAAATAATGAGAAGGGTTGAAAACTGAATCATGGGGACAAAAAGAGAACAATGTTTGGTTATTGGTAGCATAGAATTCATTTCTGTTCAAGTTTTTATGCTAGAAAAATCTCAAGAATACGACATTTTCAAGTTAGCCAGTGGTGTCTGTAGCCTTGGTGTGAAGGTCATGAGTTGACACGTGTCCCTGGTGTATGGATGTGGTCTGGCTCTGTTCTACCTTGGCAGAGGTCACAAGGGAGGACTCATGGGAGCTCTGCCCTGCTTCTGTTCCCATCAACGGGTCAGGCGACCACTGTTTCTTCTTCTTGTGGCTTCCCTTCTCTTTTTATCTTCTAATAGGGTATCGAGTAGCAAACAAGTGGGTGAGATGAACTTTTGGACCTTTTTTTCTCATGTATTTAAGACTGATGTCATTTGTATTGAGTGACACCATCCCGCAGTGGGAAAAGCTTAAGTTTTGTAATAAAGGTGTTGTTAGCTGCTGTCCAGTCAGTACCCACTTATAGCGACCCCATGTGTACATAGTAGAGCTACTCCGTAAGGGTTTTCAAGGTAGTGATTTTTCGGAAGAGGATGGCCCGGTCTGCCTTCTGAGGTGCTTCTAGGTGGGCTCAACGCCCCAACGTTTCTGATAGTAGTAATCCAGTCCTTAACCATTGTGCCGCTGGGTAGCCCTATTTGGAATGATGCCACGTTGACATTGAATTCTGGCTCTGTTACTAACTGGCGCTGTGACCTCACCTTAAATAATTGTACTTCCTGAGTCTCTTCCTCTATTAAATGGCAATCCTGACTTTTTAGCATTGTTGAAGATTACATGGAATTATTTTATGCGGTACCCAGCTTGGTGCTTCACATCTAGTAAGTGTTTAATATGTGGTTAGTTATCAGAACTTCTGAAACTGGCTTTTGAACATAGAGTAGCTAAGTGGATGGAAGAAATGATGAAGTAAAAACGACTGAACAAGATTTCAAAGAGCGGCCCAAGAAGGGAAAGTAAGATTCTAATAAAATGTCCGAAGATCTGGAGTTAGGAAACCAAAAGGGAAGAGGATGGTTGGCTTTTCACGTTATGGAAGAACTGAAGAAAAAATTCATGTCTTGAGTTGTAGTATTTAAGAATTCTATGGGCAAACCCCTGAATTATGCAGAAAGCATCAAAAGAAGATGTACCAAAAAAGAATTGCTTCACAGACAACCATTTCAGCAGGTAACATGATCAAGAGCTGATGGTACTTGAAGAAGAAACCCAAGTTGCACTCTTGAAGACATTAGTGAAAAACAAGGGTCTTGATAGCATATCCATTGCAATGTTTCATCAAATATAACACTGCAAGCACTTAAATGTCTATGCCTAAAAACTTAGAAGATACTACCTGGCCAACTGGCTGGAGTAGATCCGTATTTCTTTCTGTTACAAAGAAAGATGCTTCAACAGAATTCAGGAATGATGGAACATTATCACTAATATTACATGCAACTAGGATTTTGCTAAAGATAACTCAAAAAACAGTTTCGGCAATACATCAACAGAAATTCAAGCCTGAAGCGGTGTATAAGCAAATGTGGTGAAGAAAGTTGATGGTGCCCAGCTATCAAAATATATAGCATCTGGGGCCTTAAAAGCTTGAAGATAAACAAGCTGCAATCTAGCTGAGAAGCAATAAAGCCCAAATGGAGAAAGCACACCAGCCTGTGTGATCAAGAGGTGTCAGTGGGATCGGGTATCAGATATCAAAGAACAAAAAAATCTTATCACTGTGAATGATGGGGAGGTGCAGAGTGGAGACCCAAACAAAGCCCATCTGTAGGCAGCTGGACATCCCCTTGTAGAAAGGTCAAGGGAAGGAGACGAGCCAGTCAGGGTGCAGTATAGCAATGATAAAACTTACAACTTTCCTCTAGTTCTTTAATGCTTCCTCCCCCCCCCCCCCCACTATCATGAGCCAAATTCTACCCTAAAAATCTGGCTGGACCAGAGGATGTACACTGGTACAGATAAGAACTGGAAACACGGAATCCAGGATAGATAAACCCCTCAAGACCAATAATGAGAGTAGTGATACCAGGAAGACAAGGGGAAGATGGGGTAGAAAGAGGGAACAATTACAAAGATCTACCTATAACTCCCTCCCTGGGAGGTGAACAACAGAAAAGTGGGTGAAGGGAGACGTTGGACAGTGTAAGACATGACAAAATAATAATTTATAAATTATCAAGGGTTTATGAGAGAGAGGGTGGTGGGGAGGGAGGGGAAAAATGAGCTGATAACAAGCGCTCAAGTAGAAAGCAAATGTTTGAGAATGATGATGATGGGAACAAATGTACAAATGTGCTTGATGTGGATGTAAGTATGGATTGTGATGAGTTGTATGAGCCCCCAATAAAATTACTTTTTTTTAAAAAAATTGAAGCCTGATTCAGAAGAGGATGTGGCATGAGGGATATCACTGCTGATGTCAGGTAGATCTTGGCTGAAAACAATACAAGAAAGATACCATATATACTCATGTATAAGCTGAGTTTTTTCAGCACATTTTTAATGCAGGTTTTGTGGTAAAATTAGGTGCTTCAGCTGATATTTGGGTCAGCTTATACTCGAATATATACGGTAGTTACTTGTGTTTTAATGGCCTATCCAAAGGCATTCCACTTTGTGGATCACAACAAATTACGTAGATATCAATGTGAAGAATGGGAATTCCAGACACTTGATTGGACTCATGTGGAACCTGTATATAGACCAAAAATTAGTCATTAAAACAGAATAAGGGGATACTGTGTGGCTTAAAATCAGGAAAGGTGTGTCTCAGGGTTGTAACCTTTAACCATACTTAGTTTGTATGCTAAGCAAATAATCTGAGAAGCTGGACTATCTGAAGGATATCGTGGCATCAGACTTGGAAAAAGACTCATGAACAACCTTCAGTATGCAGATGACATACCTTGCTTGCTGAAAGAGAAGAATACATGAAGCACATAGGAATGAGGACAGTAGTCTTCAGTGTGGATTATACCTTAACATAAAACTGGCCAATAAGCAACTCTATAATAAATATGGAAAAGGCTGAAGTTACTAAGGATTTCATTTTACTTGGATTCAAAACCAACACTCATGGAAGCAGCAGTTCATCAATCAAATGTGTACATTGGGCAAATCTGCAGAAAACCTCTTTATGTCACTTTGAGAGCAAAGTGCGCCTGACTCAAGCTGTGGTATTTCTAATTATGCATGCAAACACTAGGAAATAAAGAAGGGAGACTGAAGAAGTATTGATGCCTTTGAATTAGGGAATTAATGAAGAATGTTAACTATATCATGAGTTGCCAGAAGGAGGAGCAAATCTGTGTGGGAAGACAGCCAGGATGCTCCTTAGAAACAAGGATCATGCGACTTCATCTTTGAATATGTTACTAAGACGGTCCAGTCCCTTGGAAATGTAGAGGGTTATCAAGAAGATGATGACCCTCAGTGGGCTATGTTAATACATTGGCTGCAACAATGGGCTCAAAGTAGCAATGACTGTGCATAAGGCACAGGACCTGGCAGCGTGTGTTTCTTTTGTACATAGTCACTGTGATTCAGAATGACTTGGTGGCACCTAACAGCATCACACCATCATTATCTTCATAATCATTACTGTAACTTATCCTTAGGGGATTATGAATGTATGTACTTTGTTTCTCTTCAAATCAAATAGACTCAACTCACAGTGTTAATCCTGTGGGGCCCTCCCTTCCCATCACTTGACTGGGATAGTCATGCTTTGGTACACTAGCTTAAGAATTTTGTGTTTGTTTTTCTGTTGTCTCTTGTCCAAGGAGACTGGAGAGAACAGGGATATTAATACAGGAAAGTTGTATCTTACTTGATAAAATGACGTGATTCGTGGTAACGGATTCATTTGTGGTGACCAAATACCACTTGTACTGTAATATTTTTCTGTGTTGGTGTATGGCTTATGAAACTGCCTCTTTGGAAGGGGCTGGCAGACCGACAAACTGCCTCTATTAGTCTGTTGATCCCAATGTGCAATATAGCCAGTGCAGCTCTGCAGGACACTGTTATTCCTGTAGATACTTGTTGTTTTAATTTGCCAGTTTGTGTGAAATTTTTACCTTACTACAGAACAATCTGTCTCCATTTATGTAGATCATCCTGTACAGGATCCAGGGGTGCTAGAAACCAAGGACAAGATTTTGTGTGGAGTTTATAACCTTGAAGGGCTTAAAAAAATTTTTTAGATCATTTCACACGATGTACCTCACAAACCATCCAGAAACTCCTTAGAGCAGTGGTTCTCAATCTTCCTAATGTCGCGACCTTTTAATACAGTTCCTCATGCCGTGGTGACCCCCAACATAAAATTATTTTTGTTGCTACTTCATAACTGTCATTTTGCTACTGTTATGAATGGGGCGACCCCTGAGAAAGGGTCGTTCACCCCCAGGTTGAGAACCGCTGCCTTAGAGGAAGGAGCAGCATGTACAAATTTCATTAATAGGTCACTAGGATTCCCTGAATCACTGTTAGTTCCTCAACTGAGGACCTGAGAAGCTCTTGCTTCTTAGAGTGGGTTTACTCTTTAGGAACTACCCTGCACTTTAAAGGGAAAATATCATTCAGTCCGTGGTTTAGGGATAAAATATAGCCAATACTGTTTGTTTTTAAATCGTCTCTGGAAGTAGAACCTTCTAGGATTTGGGGCAGCCTGGATTGTTGTCTTTTTTCTGAACTCTGCTGCTGTGCCCTCTGCTGGATGGAATCATTGCTATTTGCGCCCAAGCACCATCCATCCATCCATGCATCCATCCATCCATCCATGCATCCATCCATCCACGCCCCAGACTGGAAGGCACTTTTAGGGGATGTGGTGAAGGTTAATAGTAATACCGACAGGCTGACCCCACTCACAGTGAACTGATCGACTGTATTAAGTATTTTCTGCTGAATATCACTGTTAACAAGTTACCCCTTTTTAGGGCCATACCTGGTGTCTACTATCTGAACTAGAGTAGGGCTCTAAATGTCTAATTACAAGGATAAAGACCAAAGGAGTTCTGCTTATCTCCTCATCAGAGTTAAGCTCTGTGAAGCTGAAGAGGCCAGATGCTTGTTTCTAGTGGGAGAAGAGCTGAGATTCAGTGAGGCATCTTCTCAGCAGCAGGCACTGAACATTAGCAAGAGAAGAGTGTGGGTTACAAGAGCTGGTATTGTGACAGGTTGGAGTGTATGCACCCCACCCCCAGGACCAGTAGCACTAAACTCCCATCATCTGCTTTGCCACCTGCAGAGGGGTCTGGCAAGTGTTGGGAAGGAGCCTGCAGCTGTTGCTTGGAAGAGGAGCTGGCGCCTAGCAACAGTATCAGGCCCTACAGCTCAGAGCTCTGGGTCTGCCCCTTTGAAGGCTTACCCCTCCTTGCAGTTCCGTTTAGCTTGAACTGTTGAATACTGTACTCAGTACTAGGCACCATACTAGACTGGGAAGGAAAGGGGAATCCCGCAAGTGCCTTGCCTTCAAAGCTCTGGAAACACTAACAGACTTATCAGACTAAGGGGCATATGGAAAGAGACATTAGCTACTTAGGGAGAACCAGGCCGGCATGGAGTGGGGCAGGGGTTAGTGAAGGTTTCCCTGGAGAGGGATAATGATTGAGCCCAGTTAAGGATGAGTAGGAATTGGATACGTCAGCCAGGCTGAGAACAGCATTTTAACTAAAGGGAGCTGACTGGGCAAAGGCCAGCCAGGCAAGAGCGCGTGTCAGCTCACCTGGGTGGGTTAGGGCAGGAACGGTGAGTGGGGCATCAAGGGGTGAGAGGAAAAGGGTAAGGCTGCAGGACTAGGCAGGGCCCTGCTTTTGTGTCTTCTGGTGTACCTTTAACACACCTCATTGTTCGTGGGAGAGACATGGGTACTGCCGATCCCCATCAGGAGTGTAGTTTGATCTTCAGAGCCTCGGCATTTTTTATCACTGACTTAATTGTTTGCTGACATTTGAAAGTAGCATCTAAGCCACATCCTGGTGCTGCAGGTGGAGCAGGAGAAGCTGAGATTGATAAAAGCCCAAAGTCTTTGAGGAGGACTATCAGTTTTTTTATCTGTATTTAAAGTTTTACCTCTCTCCCCTTTTAAATTGTGGAAATAGTAATCAGGTCCCTTAATTTTATTTAGCATAGGAATTTCTTGCATAGTTAGGATCATAGTATTTATTTCTAATAGAGCAGTGGTTCACAACTTTCCTAATGGTGCAACCCTTTAACACAGTTCTTCATGTTGTGGTGACCACCCCCCCCCCCCAACTGTAACTTTGCTACTGGTATGAATCGGGCGACCCCTGTGAAAGGGTCATTTGACCCCCAAAGGGGTTGCTACCACAGGTTGAGAACCACTGTAATAGAGCTTGGGCACAAAATGTCACCCACTGATTGCAGAAAGATCCAGTCCTTTTTTTACGTTTGCGTCACCTCAAAAGTGCCGTAACTATCTGCTTTAATAAAGAATGATGCGTTCAGTAGCTTTTATTTAGTTCTTGTGATAAAGATCCAAAAAATCCTATTGTTTGTAGTCTTTGTAGGGTTTAGAAAGTACAGGCATTCCCTAGTTTACAAACTCTGACTTTTGGACAACTCCTACGTGTCCTTTAATATCAAAATTTGCTCTCACTTTGAAATGATTGAACCAATCCCTACTTGCAACTTCATCACAAAGCCCTCCCCTTGCTGCAGGTGCAGCTTTTAAACCAGTGGGAAAGCTTCGAGTCTTTTTTTGCACTAGACCCACTGCCTCACTACCAATTCCAACTAGGTATGTAAGTAAGACACAGTAGAACTCCATAGACTTTTCAAGGCTGAAAATCTGTAGGGTACAGACTCATCTTTCTCCTGTGGAGAGTTTGAACCCCCAACCTTGTGGTTAGCAGCCCAATACTTAACCCGCTGTGCCACCAGGGCTCTTCTCTTGCACTAATAACTTAACCCCCTGCCATGGAGTTGCTTCCTACTTTCAGTAACCCTATATAGGATTTCAGACTGTAAGTCTTTACAAGAGCAAACAGCCTCATCTTTCTCTCAGAGAGCAACTGGTGGGTTAGAACTGCCAGACCATGGGCTTGCACTGAAGTAAGGCTAAATCAGAACTGTCAGTACCTATTTTGATTTACTTATAAATTCTTCAGACCCAGCTAGGAACGGGTCTCATTCATACCTCAGGGCCTGCCTGTCCACTCAAGGACAACTGGGGGGCAGATCACTGTGTTAGAGAGCTTGGATGAGTTACACATGGCCCTTACTCTTGAGCCAAAACCAGAGGAAAGGCAGGCCCAGAAACCATAACAAAACAGTGACCCAGGTGCAATGAGACTGTGGTGGCAAAGGTGCTTAGTGAGCAATTAAGTGATTGATACCTAGTCTGTTCTGTGCATAAACATGTTTTAAAAAGGAATGACGACTCTATATATGCTTTTTGCAACTTATAAATTAGTAAAAAATTCTACATTTTTAATGGCTACATTAAAATACCTGCTATGGCTGTGGCACAAATAATTTACTAACATGTCTGTTATTGGGACATGAGGGTTGTTTCCTGTTTTAGTAAATGTAAACTGTGCTGCCATGACTTTTCTTGAGGATGAATCTTTGCCTACATCAGAATTGAGAAGTGAGATTTGAGCAGGGTTTTGAAAGATGGATATATTTTCTTGGGTGGCACAAATTGGAACCTACTGAGCAGTAGCATTGAAGAAAACCCTGGTGATCTGCTTCTATAAAGATTATCTCCACCCCATCCCCTCAAAATCCCTCAATCCCAACAATTTGATTCTGACTGGAAACGATCATATATAGGGTTTCTAAGATTACATCTTTAATGGGAGCAGGCAGCCTCGTCTTTCCCCCAGAGTGGCTGGTGAGCTTGGTCTGCAGACTTTGGTCGTCAGCCCAGTGACCAACGCAGGGCCAGTAGCCAACACAACCCTTTGGAACAGTTCTGCTCTGAAGTGCATGGGGTCACTGTGAGCTGACATCAGTTTGATGGCAACAGGATTTTTGGTTTGAAAGATGACTAGGCGTTCACCAGATGGGCAAGGCAAGTGGGTGGGAGCCAGGAAAGGGCACTCAAGGTAGAGGCATCCTTCAGTGCCAAAGTTCATGGGTGACTAATGCGCTCCACTTTACACCAAGTCGACTGGCCCTGCCTGAATGCCTTGGAAAGCTCGGCACAGCAAGATGAAGTTACATTTTACTAATGGCATTTTAATTGTGTTTTTTTCCCCCCTGTGCCTTGCTTTTACAGTCATAACCAAGGCAATGTCTTACTACCTCAATTCTGAAAACCACCTGGATCCAGGGCCCATCTACGTGCGTGAAAATGGGCAGCTGCACATGGTCAATCTGGCCCTGGACAGTGTCAGGAGTGGCCTGCAGAAGCCAAGGCCCAGACCTTTCAGACTGTTTCCCAAAGGCTTTTCTGTGGAGCTTTGCATGAACAGGGAAGATGATACTGCACAGAAAGAGAAGACTGATCATTTCATCTTCACATACACCCGAGAGGGGAATCTTCGGTACTCCGCCAAATCCCTCTTCAGCCTCGTCCTGGGCTTCATCTCTGACAATGTTGATCACATCGATTCCCTCATTGGCTTTCCTGAGCAGATTGCTGAAAAGCTTTTTTCTGCTGCAGAAGCCAGACAGAAATTCACAGAGCCAGGTGCGGGGCTGAGGGCTTTGCAGAAATTCACTGAGGCCTACGGAAGTCTGGTGCTCTGCTCTCTGTGTTTGCGAAACAGGTGGGTGTTGTAAGTAGGAGATTGAATATTTCATTGGGTATCTTGATTCTGTCAGGCTCGGGGGCTTAGTGGGCTTGCAGGCTTTTTTCATCAAATAGCTCTTTAATTTTAGGCATGTTCAAACACAGAATGGTCCTGGTACATTTAAAAAACAAACAAAAAGCATGGCAGGCCATTTTGAGAAAAGTGAGCATCTTCTGCTTGGCCACACAGCTGTATTTTGAGAACATTTTGCAATACTAAGTTGTTCCCACAGCTTCTTCATTAGGTAGGAAATTCTCTGCTCCCAACTTCCTGGTAAGAGAAAGTAGGAAAGACTAACCGATCCGCTAGTATCTCTTGGTGTGCTCTAGGAGCTGGCCTGTCAGAATCCAGAGATCTTGGCCCGGTTTCAGTTTTCAAACCACCAGAAATGAGCCTTAGATAAAAGGCAATCGTAAAATAATGAATATTTACAGTTTTCCTCTCCCCAAGTTTGGGAAATTTCAGATAAGGTTCCAATACCCAAAGTTTGTGTTGTATCACAAAGCAGATGTTCTCTCTTGTGGCTTTCCTTGACTCATACACTTTTTTTTAAAGAATTTATTCCAATGTTTAAAAAGTAAGGCATCAGGGTATTGTAACAATGAAAATGTTCATGGCAAAGCCATTCAAACACAACATGCTATCCAGGGAAGCAGAAACCTCCCTCCCCATCTCATCTCCTGTCTGCTTTCCCCAGAGGCAAGTAGCTCTGGAACGGTTACAAGAAAACTGACTCCAGGGCTGTTCTGTGCAGAGACAGGCTTGTGTCACCCCTCCTTCCTACACCATGACTGCACACTTTGTACCTGATTATATACTTTGCTTTCTTTAAATAATTCTGAAATTCTATATCATCAATACCTGTAGAATTTTGTTGTTTTTAAGTGGCTGTATGGTGTGTCATTCTCTGAAATGTTTTGTGATTAGGAATACTTCTTACTATTAATAAGATGCATGATCAATATGACCATTAAAACAGACTAAATAAAAACATAGTAAAAGAGAAGTCATACCAGAAGCAGTTGAGCTAAGGATGGTTAGCTCATATACTTCAAAATAAAGAAAAGGCAACAGTCTTTATTTAGCCAGTTGATATAGTTCATGGTTTCACCCCCTGCCAAGCAGTGTACTTTAATATGAGTAGGCACACGCACTGCAGAAAAGCAGAGAACCATGGCCCCTCTGAGGCTCTGCTGCTGCGGTGGCTCTTACCGCTGGCATGAGAGCTGCTGCCAAGTGGAGAGGAAATCCTTCCTTTGCCTAAGTGAGAGAAGCGAAGCAGGGTTTCACTGCAACTCAAACATCAAGACATGCCATGCCTTCGTTTTACTTCCTTATTCAAGTTACTCATAGTCATTGTGGAAAAATGAAAAACAGTGTTCTGACATACACCTTGTTTTAAAATGATTTTGTTTTATAAAAGTAATATATGCTATTTGAGAAATCCAGAAAATGAATATAAAAACATCATCCTGCCGTGCACAGTAATCATTTTCAAACTTGTATTCCACACATTTGGAAATGTAGTCTTTAGAACTTTTTATTCTGTTGGGTTTTTTTCCTTCTCACCGCCTTGGCAGCTTAAGCATTTCCTATGTTACTGAAAATGCTACATCAGCGCCGTTTGTCGTCAGTGGAAATTGGCCTGGTGCCATTGGTCGGGTTTGTGAAGAGGATAACATTTTCATTCGTGTTGGATGAGCATATATGAATTTGTGTAGCATTTCTGGAAAGCAATTTGGAGATAGGTATTAAGAACTTTTAAAACATCCATCCCCCTGTCCCGCCCAAACAACACCCGTGTACCGCCTGTTTAACCCATTCCTTCTACATTTCATCTTCACTTCCGTTGCGATACTCGGGACGGGAGCAATGCTTTTAAGAAGGACTTCCAAAAGTTCATGAAAATAAACCCATTATCTTTTCATTCCATTTTCCCATGAATTCTTTTGAAACCCCTTGGTGTATAAAGGTGTTCTTTGTAGTCCTACTTGTAATAGTGAAAATCTGAAACTATGTAATTGTCCAACAATTGAGGATTGGTTGAGCAAAGTGTAATATACCTGCATAGTGAAGTGTAACTATTAAGGTAACATTCAGATTATTTTAAATGATGTGGTAAAATGATTGTGAAAAAATAATTATGTATACTACAGGATACCAATTTTTTTTAAAAGGTGTATTGAAATACAGAGGTAAATATACCCGGGAGCTTCAAAAAGTATGGAAAATGAAATTAAAAGATAATGAAATTTTTCCATGAACTTTCTGAAGCGTGTTCTTACGCAAAGAAAAAAATGCACCAAAATGTACCCACTATCTAGATCAGTGATTCTCAACCTTCCTAATGCCGCGACCCTTGATTACAGTTCCTCATGTTGTGGTCACTTCCCAACCATAAAATTATTTTCGTTACTACTTCCTAACTAATTTCGTGACTCACAGGTTGAGAACCGCTGATCTAGATGGGGCTTATGGAAGTTGTGCTTAATTTTCTCTCTTCTTAAACTCTTTACCCCTCATGTATAGGCATTACTTTTATAATCAGAAAATGTAAGAGACATTTTTAACCATCCTTTGACTCATACCGCAACAATTCTAAATCTTGTGGTCTTAATCCAATGTAGCAGGAGAGACTTTGGCTTGCCTTCCATATCCTTTTGAACCCCCAATGAGAGAGGGGAGGAAATGGTGGGGTTGCATTTGCCATTCGAGACTGATCCTGGAGCAACCAAAAATCCCTATAGCCCAAAAGGATTCGGATCAAAGGGAAACCATTGAAAACAAGGTCATTGGTAGGTGCAGGCACTTCTCTCGGGGTTAGTCCACAAAGCTGCCTTTGCCAAAAGAAGCCAGTGTCTTTGCAGTTGGGTTCTGGTTTCCAAAACTCTCTTCTCTCCAGTGGGAATCCTAGCGAGTTTTAATCCCACTGGTGGTCTTAGAAAGGCAGTATGTGTTTTCCTTAAAATATCACCCTGTGTAACTGAAGTAGTCGTAACAGCCATGATTTCATGAGGGCCTGTAAGATTCTGTGTATTGTTTAAATATGGTTTCTGATTTTCTTCATTCTCCTCAAAAGCAGCGTCACCTATTCCATTTTTGAGGCTCAGCGAGGTCAAGTAGGTTCCTTACAGTCACAAATAAGAAGGGCTGTTAGAATCCAAACTGCGACACTGATGTCCTCGCTTCTGCTCCTCGGAGACACTGATCTGCCTTCATGAGGGAATCTGGGAGGCCAGTTGCAAGTAGACAAGCTTTGATTGTCCTGGGTTAGCATCTAGTTAGGCCTATCTATCGCCTTGCTTGTTGGGCTCTCAGCCTTGATTTTTGTAATGTTCCTTAATCACATTACACACTGTTCTGTCCTTTGCAGCTAACCCTTATTTCAGAACGCTAAAACTATTTAGGCTACTTGATCAAGGAGATGTGTATTTTCTTTTCTCTGATTGCCAGTAATCCCCCAAATCCCCATTAACCCACTTCAACCTTGTGATTAGAAATGGAATGCAGCAACTTTATTTGTAGTGCAATTAAAAAGCCTCTGAGTAAAGGCTCATTTGTGTGCCCAGCTGAGCCCGGTGGCCAGGCTGCTTAGGTTCGACGGTTAAAATGGGGTATCAGTGCCCAAGCCATCTGTACCTATCAGTCAGGCTGCTTCTGTTTGAGTATGGCTTATTTTGGTTAGAAGTAGGAAGAAAAGAGATCAGAAGCTCCTTGTCTCTGATTAGTCTGTCCTGTTTTTAGTCATTACCATCCTGCTGATGGAAGAGACTTGTGAATATTTTAAGTGTAACCCTGGCAGACCACCTTGCTGAGGAAGCCCCTAGACATCCAAGAGGAACGTGAACTGACGGAGTGTTCAGGCCACATGCCAGTTTTCCCTCCTCAGCTCCTCTCCTGTTTCCTGTCACCCCTAAGCCCTTTATGTTTTGTTTGCTTTGTCAAATCACTGACTCATCTGAAAGGGATGAATGAAATAAAAAGCAGGGCGGATGCCCAGGCCTGGGCTGTGGAATGCCTGTTTGATCTCCTTTGCCTCTCAGAGGCCTCCCTGATACTTCCTGATAACCATTTGGCAAGCCACTTCCATGTAATTACGTTGCTGGAGCTCACAGGTTGGCCTTCACCGTCCAGATTGGAGGGAGTCCTCCAGCCGCTGCGCTCATTGTGGAGTGAAGCTGGCAGGTTAACAAGCACAGTGAGAGGGCAGGCATTCAGGCTGCTCTCAGAGCGAACCTGTGCCTGGGTAGTGATCGATGAAGTCTGCTGATTACATAGTACTTTGGCCTGTCGACTGCTGTCACCAAACCACAGTTGGCATTGTTTTTTAAAAAAGTAAAGTTCTTGATTGCCCTGCACACTCCCCCAGATACCTGGTGATTTCAGAAAAACTTGAGGAAATAAAGTCGTTCCGGGAGCTGACCTGCCTGGACCTTTCTTGTTGCAAGCTTGGAGATGAACATGAACTTCTGGAGCATCTCACCAATGAGGCCCTGTCCAGGTATTGCTCTGCCACCATTCCTGAGGGACGGTTCCAAAGGGATCATCTAAGGAATGCACTGATTCAGTCCAAGCAGCGTAGACTGGACGATTTGTAGGAAAGTCCATCTTTGTTTTAAGAAGCTTGATTTTTATGCATAGATCTTGAGCTTACCTGCCTTGAAAAATGATTTTGTTATTCATCCTGTTCCAGTTTATTCTAGCAATAGACCAGAAGTTACATGGTTTCCACAATCATCATCACTTTCTGTTTCATCAGTGAATTATAAATTGTAAAGAAGTCAGTTACTAGAGACAGCCAAGGAAGTCCTTTACAAGAGCCCAGATTTCAGGACATGGTCGCTTGGTGCCGTTCACCCGGAGCCCTGCCGATTTCAGGTTTCTCAGTCCCACCAGCAGAGAGGGGCAGAGGGAGTCCTTTGTGGTGTCCTCACACCCAGAAGGGGTGACAGCCTTGCACACCTGGGTCTAGCCTGCTACCAGGGGCCTGCCTCTGACAGTGACACCTACACTCTGCCCTCTACAAAGGTACTTTTGTGTGAGCTTAGCAGCAAAGCTCACATGTCCTGTGTGAGGGCCAGCACATGAGCACACCTGAGAAAAGGTTAGCTGGGCAGATTGGGTTATAGCCAGTCTGGCTAGTTTATAAACCAATCTGAAGATTAGATGCGGAAAGCTGACTGAAATTAGTAAGTTTGCTGTGCAGAAGGAATTCTGTGGGGATTGTTCAGCAGGCTGTCCTGGCGTGTTTAGGATGGTGTTTGATTTTCAGAAGCCCTGTTGATACTGTGCTTCAAGTGCTGGACTGCTAACCCAAAGGTCAGCAGTTTGAACCTACCAACCACTTTGCAGAAGAAAGGAGGTGTCAGTTGTCCTCTGTAACGATCGACAGCTCTAAGAATCCTCTGAGGGCAGTTCTACCCTGTCCAGTAGAGTTCACTGAGTTGGGATTGATGCTTTAGCCTTGAGTTTGGTTCTTTGGGTTGAATGTAACTTTTATGTTAAGCAAGACGTGTTTATTCCCTCAATGGAAGTCTCCAATGTACCTCATTTGACCATACCCTGTTAGTTAGTGCCCTCTGCCATTGGAGATTAGTACTACATGACACCCTGCTAAACATCACATAGTAACTGAAATAGCACCAAAAAATCTTCAAGTACATTAGGTATTAAATTGTAGGGAATAGAAGAGATTTTTATTTTCGGTGACGTTTTTGAAAGCCTATTTTGTACCTAGACTTTCTCGAACTCTTAAGTAACATTCCCGGCTTTGTTTCTCCAGTGTAACTCAGCTTCACCTGAAGGACAATTGTCTGTCCGACGCCGGGGTGCGGAAGATGACAGCACCAGTTCGAGTGATGAAAAGAGGCCTTGAAAATCTGACACTGTTAGACTTATCTTGTAAGTTTCATTAGCCATCATGAAAGATTACTGTTGGAACGGACTTAGACATTATCTAGTTTCCTCCCTTCCTTTAGAGACGATCGGGAGAAAGACTGGGCTTCCCTTTCCCGTAAAGAGTTAGTCTCCGCAGATCACGGGTCATTCTACCCTGTCTTATAGGGTGCTATGAATGAGAATTGACTTGATGGCATAAGTTTGGGTTTGGGTTTTTAGAGAAGATAAGATTGAGGGAAAGTGACTTTCTTAGGGGCAGAGCAGAACTGAAGCCACGGGCTGTTGACATCTGACTATTCCTTACCTGGCACACTGCTACCCCTTTGGGATAGGAAAGCCTTACAGCTTCATCCTGGTCACTCAGCTGTAGCATGTATAGACCAGGAAACTGTTCATCAGATTCATTGCATATGTAAAGGGCACTGAACTTTTTTGCGTGTCTCTGATCAGTCTTTTTTTTTATCGTTTTATTCGGGGCCCTTACAGCTCTTATAACAATCCATACATTAATTGCATCAGGCACATTTGCACATATCTGGCCATAATTGCAAAACATTTTCTTTCTACTTGAGCCCTTGGTCTCAGCTCCCCACCAACCCCCATCAATCTTTTTTTTATCATTATTTGCCTGATAAAAATGTAGACAAATGAAGACAAAAGGGTGCATAAGCAAAAGTGATAAAGCTGATGTTGCCCAGCTATCAAAAGATATAGCGTCTGGTGTCTTAAAGGCTTGAAGATAAACAAGCGGCCATCTAGCTCAGAAGTAACAAAACCCACATGGAAGAAGCACACCAGCCTGTGTGATCACAAGGTGTCAAAGGGAACAGGCATCAAAGAACAAAAAATCAAATCCTTACGAATGAGTGGGATTCCAGATTGGGGACCCAAGACCCATCTGTAGGCAACTGGACATCCCCTTATAGATTGGTCGCGGGGAGGAGATGAGCCAGTCAAGGTGCAGTGTAGCAACGATGAAACATACAACTTTCCTCTAGTTTCTAAATGCTTCCTCTCCTCCCACTGTCATGATCCCAATTCTACCTTACAAATCTGGCTAGACCAGAAGATGTACACTGGGTACAGATAGGAACTGGAAACACAGGGAATCCAGGACAGATGATCCCTTCAGGACCAGTGTTGAGAGTGGTGATACCGGGAGGGTAGGTTGGAAAGGGGGAGCCAATTACAAGGATCTACATGTGACCTCCCCCCAGGGTGATGGACAACAGAAAAGTGGGTGAAAGGAGGCATCAGACAGTGTAAGATATGACAAAATAATCATTTATAACTTAGCAAGGGTTCATGAGTGAAGGGGGAGCGGAGAGGGAGGGGGAAAAAAGTAGCTAATACCAAGGGCTCAAGTAGAAAGCAAGTGTTTTGAGAATGATGATGGCAACAAATGTACAATTGTTCTTGACACGATGTATGTATGGATTGTGGTGAGCCCCCAATAAAATGATTAAATTTTAAAAATGAATAAATAAAAATAAAAACATTTTTTAAAAGTCTAGATAAATTCACAATGGCGATAAAGTCCTCAGAATCAACTAGATAGTGGCTCCAATGGAGAAAGTTGGTAAGAGACCATTGATGATCAAACTGAATGCCCACTGACTATATGGTGGGTGCTAGAGTGTTGAAAGAGTAGGACTTTGAGGTTGGAAGACTCTCCTTTGCTACCTTTAACTGGAGCTGTTTGCCTTGTACAAATTAACCTCTCTGAGCCTTGTTCTGGCCTTTGGCAGGAAAACAGTAATGTTTTCCATAGCTTTCAGGGAAATGTATTCATTAAAAAATACTTTTTGAGCATCTGCAGTGTGCCAGACTGTGTGCTCATAACCTCCAGGATTCAGTGCTCCCTCTAGTCCGCTGATGTGAGAAGGTCATAAAGATTCCAAGAAGGGGAAACAAGCACGTTTAGGAAGTGTAGTAATTGCTAAGTACCCTTGAACATTTTTCAGTTAAATAAAAGCTTTTGCTTTGGAGGCAAAATGGCCATGCACAAAATCTGAACATTTTAATGTAGTCTGTTGTCATATAATTCCAAATAAGGAACTACTTTATTTGGGATAGTTTTGGGACAACTACCTGGTGGGGTTTTTTTGTTTGTTTTTTGAGCCACCTCCTAATCCATTAGAGTAAGAAATGTTACCAAGTGTGGCTCCTGCTACCTTAAATTACTCTGAAAGTATTTTGGATTGTAGTTGCCGAGACACTTTTCTGGGTGTCTAATTCCCCTTTTAGCAAGAGTTGTGCTCTAACCAAATGGTAACTCTGTTTTTGACATCCAGGCAACCCTGAAATCACAGATGCAGGAATCGGATACCTCTTTTCTTTTCGAAAACTGAACTGCTTAGATATCTCGGGGACAGGGCTCAAGGTAAGCCTTTGGTGCCTTCTTTTCATTGATGGGAGATGATTGAATTCACCGAGCATCTGGTTCACGACTTGCTCTTTTGCTTCTGTAATGGGTGTGTAAGGTGCCATGGTGGCGCTGTGGGGCAGGCATTGGACTGCTAACTGCTAGGTCGGTTGGGGTGCCAGCTCCCCACTCTCCCCAGGGAGAGAGATGAGCCTGTTGCGCCTGTAAAAATGTCCCGCCTCAGAAACCCTGTCAGAATCTACATGACGGCAGTGGGTTTGCTTTTGTTTCGTTTTTAATCAGCATTTAGCAAGGGTAGTGTTTATGGTGATGCTTATTCCAGAAGCTAGTGAGCATTAACCAAATGCATATTGTGTGTTTTTGTTCTCTCTCTCTCACAAGGACATCAAAGCCATCAAACACAAGCTCCAGACCCATATAGGCCTCGTTCACTCCAAAGTGCCTTTGAAGGAATTTGACCATAGTAACTGCAAAACAGAGGGCTGGGCCGATCAGGTACTGCAGACTTTCTCCCCTCTGCTTGCTGTGGGTTTCCAACAGCATGATCCCTCTTGGTAGCTCTTGGCTGAGTTGTCATATGTTCATATCAAGTTAGAGGCACTAGTGGGCTGTAACTTGACCCAGCTATTTAAGGAGTGAGTGTTGATGTCTCCCCTTCAATTGCTTCATTTCCTCTGAGCCTGAAGGAAAATGCCGTCTTACAAGGGACTCAGAAGATTCCGTGTATTCTGGCTTGCTCTCCAGAATGCAGGGTGACCCAGCTTCACAAGGACACGGTCTTCAGTGTGAGTGGATTGGAGGGAGCATAGCCTGGAGAGTCATGCGGTTCAGAGCCATGGCTTACTCTGTGGAACCTAGTGAGGAAATGGCTTTTTATCCTCTCCCGAGCCTTTCCGTTTCTAACTTTGTGGCTGAATTTTACCTCGACTCCCTGTCTTCTGGATGATCCTCCTCAGTTCACTAAAGCACAGGCTGAAGTGGGAGTCAGAAAGGAACCGAGTCATGCACTCCAGGAGATACCTGCGGGCCTGTGGCTGGGGCCCTTCTCCTTCAGACACACCACAGTGGTTCGCAGACGACTGGGACCCACCAAACCATTGTTTCCGGACCCCTCCTCGGCTCCCAGCCATACTACACAATGGTGGGCTTGACCAACTGCCTAGGTGTGCCATCACTACTCTGTAGGTGAGGAGGAGGAGGAAGGGGGCTGCTCAGTGTTGGTTTCAGTAGCACTTTCAGGCTGGTCTAGAGCAGTGTTCCCCAGAGTGGGAGAGAGCCACCCCAGGGCGCTGCAACAATCCAGGGGGCCGCAAAAGCAGACCTTTATGCTGGATGATGGGCTAGAGTACAGCAATATTTAGGGGTGGGGACGGGGTAGGGTGTTGTGGTTGTTTTGGTTTTTTTGTTTTGGAGCAAGGAAGTCCTAGGGCAAATATGTTTGGGAACCTATGGTCTAGAACATACCTGTAAACTAATTACCACCGGGCATTGTCAGACAAAAGTTAGGAGCCTTGGAGGAGTGGAGTCGGGGCAGGTAGGGAAGGTCAAAGAAAGGAAAGCTTGGTATGGGTTTGGTGGCAGATGCTGTGATGGAAGGAATGCCGAGTAGTCTGTAGAGTAAGAGAGACCTGGGTTTGGGTTGCTGGCTTGACAGCCTGATCTTATGACTTGAAGCATCTGTGAGTTGTGGGAATTGTAGAAACCAGGGTCCCTTGCAGGACTTGGTGAGGAGTAAATAAAGCACCAGGCCGCCCAGTCTGAAGAGAAACAGATGGTCCGGCCTCGGCGAGGCCTCTAGCCCTGACAGAGTGCTGCGTCCATCTCTTGGGGACCTATCATTGAAATGGTTCTGGCTTTCCTCCATTTGCCTTCCGCCCTCATTCTCAGCTGATAACCCAGAAAAGAGGCTGCATCACAGAGCGAGGAGCCCACCGAGCTGCTAACTGCAAGGGCAGTGGTTTGAACCCCAGCCGCTCTGGGAGAGCGATGGGCCCGTCTGCTCCCATGATGATTTACAGTCTCAGAAACCAAAGGGCAGTTCTGGCCTGTCCTTGTAGGGTTGGCATGAGTTGCAGTCGGGTGGATGGCGGTGAGTTTGGGATAACAGGGGTCCCTTTGCTTTCCTGCCTGCCTCAACATTTCTTCAGTCTTTTCACCTCCGCCTGTCAGTGGTGAACAGATGTGCCACTTGTGATCCAACAGTCAGCCCTCTGTTCCCTCACCTCAGCCTCTTCCATCGCATCTGCTGCCGGCCGCTTCCTTCCTGTGCACAAACCTGCTCGAGCTACTCTTGTCCACGTGCCTCGGCCCTCCACCCTTGCCCTGGGTTCCGTCGTCCTCCTCGCTCTCCTGCTCCTCACGGCTGCCCTGCTCCACTGTCAGGATTCTCTTGAAGGTGGCCACGTCCAGAGGCTTCTTGTCTTCCTTCACCCAAGCATTCTGCAGTACTAGATGGAAACTGTCATACCTGAACGCTCTTCCTTTGGCCTCTCTGTGGCTGCTCTCTCCCCTAACATCCCGACTGTGTGTACACATACACACACACACACACACACACCCTACACCCCACACCCTCGCCTCCTCTTTCAGGTCTGTTCAATTCCTAGTGATCTGAACTGTTCTCAGAGCCTTTGCTGCCCTGCAGAGGCGAGTCCACTTCTCTCAGTTCATCAGTCCCAAGTCTCCACTTGGTTCCTCAAATTATGTTTTCCCAGGACCAGATTTCTCCTCCTCTTCACCACCCCCAGGTTTTCTTGTGCGTTCTTAGTTCTGTTGCTGGAGGGAACTGTTTGCCTTGGACCCACGCCATTGTCAGGCCCTAAGACTTGATCCCCTCTTCACATTCGCTTAGATCGGCCCTCATTTCTCTAGGCAGGGAAGGGGCGTGACAAGGAGGACAGCAGAGACCGATTGTCCTTTGCTCTCCGTGTGTCACATGCCTGCACAGCCTGCCCTCACTTAGGCCTCACAACAGCCCTCTGAGACACGTACTATGGTTAGTCCCTGTATTACAGAGGAAACATCACTTAGCAGGGGCCCCACGAGTCAGTAGTGAAACTCTCCGGAGCGAAACTCTTAGGCTCCTTGTTGCCCTGCCTCTGGGTTGTGAGTATGCTTTTCCTGATTCCCTTTATTCGTCAAGTCATCGCGGCCATCACTGTTGGTACTCGTGGAATATACGAAAGGATCGTTTTCCAAAGACCTGTACACATCACGTTCATTTGGGGCACCTCTGCTTGCATATGCACCTGTGCCTGTGCCCTGTCTCTTTGTGACACACTCGACAACGCTGCTAGTATTATTACTATAGTACTACGTTGAAGGTGTCAGTGTATCTGGCAGTGTTCCTTTAATTTTTTACATGCCAGTAAGGATCCACTAAGATGAACATTTGACTAACTGATGTTAAGATACCATTTCTGACTTAGTGTATAAATCCCACTAAAAGACAGACTCAGGAATGGAGCTTGTTCATAACCAAGGCTGTGTGTAATATGAAGGCCTTCAAAAAAATTCTTGCAGTGCTCGCTTCGGCAGCACATTACTAACATTGGAACTATACAGAGAAGATTGTTAGCATAGCCCCTGCGCAAGGATGATGCGCAAATTCGTGATGCATTCCATATTTTTAAAAAATTCTTGGAAAATTGGAATGAAAGGCTAACAGAAATTTCCAGGAGCCTTTTGAAGCCCCCTTGCATTTCTGAATATGGTGTTTGCACAAACCCCCGTTTCAGAGAACACACTAGGGTCATTGAGCAGTGCGTGACAAGTTTAGTATCCATAAAGTGCATTTATAGCACTTTAAAGTGGGAGAGACGACGGAAAGGTGGGCATTGATGCGCATGTGAGTTTGTAGCTGTGGTTGGTATGTTTTGAGGCATGATAGTGTAGGATGTGGGAAAAGTATAAAGGTTAAAGATTTTAATTTTAATACTTAGTTAAGGGTGATATATAGTTTATTTCTAGTTTGGAATAAAGATTAAAATAGAAAACAGGCTTCACCTTCCTTGGTTTTTCTGAGTCATTAGAAAATGTCTCCGTTGTGGTTACATTCTGATTCGACACCTGCATTAGAACCGGAAGTACAGACGGGACTGACTTGTGTTGTCCCCATCGTCTGAAGTCAGATCTGCCACAGGAGCTTGTGTTTAAGGGGGGCAGCCGGTGGTACAAGGAAGGCTGGAGCTGAGACGCGTGAAGCAGGTGTGGACTCAAATCTCCAACTATGTTTCAGATCGTTCTGCAGTGGGAGCGTGTGACTGCGGAAGCTGGGAAGCTACGAGAAGCCTCAGAGCCTCGGAGGGCAGCTCAGCGCTTCTGTGAGACAGTCCCTTTCCTTGGGCGCTTTCCTTTAGGGTCCTGGCATCCTAAAGCAGTTAGCCTGCCTGCACGCAATAGGAAAAAAATTGTCAGTGTTGACTTACAAGGGTTTGTTAAAAAAGCATTCTGCTAGGGTTCCAGTTCATACATGGATGACTTTGTTCCATGCATAACATGCGCAGACATGCCTGATCTCAGTAGACAGCTGCAGGTGAGATCTCTCAGCAAACCCCTTGTCTTAGTCTTGTTGGGGTGCCTTAAAAAAAAGTCCAGTCTAAACAGTGGTTTCCAGGGGGATCTGCTGGGCCAGTTAAATTCCAGGCCAGAGTGGTTAGCTTAGAAGGTTCTCTCACAGGGATCATATCCAAACATTTTCTCAAAAGGACAGAGGGCTATTATGGGGGGGACTAGATTAGGAAGAAGTTGTAGACCATTGAAAAACTGCATTGGTGCAGAAGGCCAACAAAGTTGCACTGGGGGATTATTTTTCCAGTACGACTGCACCTACTCATTCTTTAGGAACCTAGGGCTGCCCTGTGAACTTTTTTTTTTTTGGGGGGGTGTGGGGGACCATACTCCATCCACCCCTTATGCCTTGATCTTGCCTATTCAGACTGGCTTTTTGTTCCTCAAGCACAAAAGACATTGAAAAATAAGACAATTTGAGCCCCTCCAGGATGCCCAAACTGCTGTTTTGATGTGGTATAAGTCAAAAGCACCGAAGTTTGGGGGAAGGTCTGAGCGATGAAACTAAGCCCTGCAGCAGGGTTTAGACCTAGGTGACGACGTCAAGAAGCAGTTGCTTCATGTGTTGAGACTTGTGTTTCATAAAGGTTTCTAGCATATTTTTCTAGCAAGGCTTTTGACTTGACTGCTGATTTGTGATTTCTCACGACTTGTTCTCCCTCAGCATAGCTTCTTAGCATGCACATTCACTCTTCTGAGTGCCAGCACTAGGAAACCCACTTTGGACAAGGATTTACTTTTTCATACCCCACCTGGTTTCAAAAAAGACTTGTGATGGCACAAAACTGGGTAGACCCCTGAAACTTAGAAAGAAATGAATTGACAGGAGTGACATGAGAAGAATCCGGGGCACACTGCAGAATACAGGCTTTCAGCTGCTTAGAAGACCGTCAAATCCAGATTTTGGTTGATAATAGCTAACCTGGTGGTATCAAGATTATACCCCAGGCTGCTAACCGCAAGGTCAGCTGTTTGAAATCACCAACCACTTCTCGGGAGGAGGACAGTCTTTCTACGCCTGTCTCTGTAAGCTCACAGGGGCAGTTCTCCTTTGTCTATAGCAGTGGTTCTCAGCCTTCCTAATGCCGCGACCCTTTCATACCTCATGTTGTGGTACTGTTAGGAATCGGGTGACCCCTGTGAAAGCGTCATTTGTCTCTCAGAGGGGTCTCGGCCCACAGGTTGAGAACCGCTGGACTATAGGGTCACTATGAGTCAGAATCTACTCGATGCCAATCAGTTAGTTTTAGAACACTTAATGTGCTTTTACTGTATACAAACACCGTGCTAAGCGGCTTTCGTGCATTTTCTCATCTATCTTTAAATCATCCTTAGGAAGTCAGTTTTATATCCCTGCAAAGATGAGAAAAGCCTGCTTTACCCTGTAAGTGGCACAGCTGGGATTTGCATCTAAGCCGCTCCGCCTACAGTAGGAATACTCGCAGTCTTCCGCCTGTGCTGGAGCATATGCCCCTGCTCACAGTGAAGTACATTAACCCAGGCAGCACCCTGTGGGGCCTTTGTTGCAACCCTTAGGTCATCTGCCCAGACTTCTTCCAGCTTTAGCATCCCGGCACGGCACACTGATAGCCCTTCCCTCTGTCACTCTTTCAGACAGCAAACGAACTCGGACAGAAACGCCAGTGAAGTGCCCCATGGCAGACAGCCCCACGAACTCTTCTGAGAAGCTCCAGTTCTACAAAGAGGACGCTCCAGACTGCCACGGGCCATTGTTGGAAAGGGAGACTGCTGTGTGCCAGGAGTCAAAGAAGAGCAAAAAGAGAGCGTTGGAGGGTCCAGAGCAGGATCAGAGTAACTCTTCACAGTCTTCAAAGCAGAAGTATGTGTGTCTGGCTGTGGAAGACTGGGACTTGCTGAACTCCTATTGAGTGGCAGATAAAAGTTGACACCGGTCACCCGCACCCCCATGCCCACCCCAACTCTAACGTATGAGGAAAAGGGACTGATGATGTTTACTTTTTGGTTAAGTTGACCTATGACATTAGCATAGCAAGCAGATATTTCTACTTTTGTGATGGGGGAGGGCACTGCTATGGAAGTAAGTAATAATTTCTAATGTATATTTTCAATACATAGTAATTTTTTCAAATAAACATTTTGCTGTCCTTATGTTCTGCTGTGGATTACAGACTGGAGCCTCAGCCTCAAGGGCTAGCACTTTGGTTTAGGATGGAAGGCCACGTGAACTAACAAGAACACCTGTCATTATTTGTTGCTATAGGTAGTTCCTGACTTAACAGCCTACTGATTGACTATGAGGCACACTTAAAACCCTCTCTTGTTTGGGGTTCTCTGTTGTTAAATGTTTCAGCATCTGGAACCTGTTGCAGCACACAATTTGCGGCTGTTATTCTCAGATACTCACTTGCAGATGTTCAGTTTTATGATTTACTGTTCCAAGCACTGCCAGATGTGTAAAGGTACCCATTATAAAGGACAATGATGTTGAAAACTTAAAAAAAAAATGTATTCGACTTACATCAGAACCAACTTTAGGAGTCATTGGAGTGGTACCCTATAAGTCAACCTATCTGTGCTGTAATTTTACATTCCAGTGACCTACATACAGTACCCAGGACCTTAGTGGTATACGGGGTTAGGGGTTGGCTGCAAACTGCAATGTCAGCCGACTAATGTCAGCCCCTAATGGGAGGAAAACTATACAGAATGTCTCCCAAACCCACAGAGGCAGTTCTGCCTGTCCTGTAGGGTTGCTGTGAGCCCTGACTTGATGGCAGTGAATTTGAAAATTTGAAACCTTCAGTAGAGTGTTCACCTGACCAGTAAAATATATCTATGAACCAGTCAATCCTGCTGCATAGAGACCCCATGCACAACCCAACAAGACTACTGTGCCATCCTGCATCCTCTGCTGTGTATGAACCACGGAATCAGTCCATCCTCACCCAGGGCCTTCCCCTTTCACTGGCCCGTGAGCAAATATGATAGTCTTTATCATGAACAGAGCTACAGTGTACTAATGCTCCTTATTTTTCATGCCCTATCCTCACAGCAGCCATTGAAGCTAGGTCTTCGCTCCAATTGAGAGTTAAGTGACACTTAGCCTCAAGTTAAATTGCTTGTTCAAGGTTAAAGAGCTCTTGAGTGACAATCATAATTTATACTTCATTTGCAACTCCAAAGTCCACTCCATTACAGTGCTTGCTTAAGTCACAGTTTGTTGTTACTGGTGGCCCCTGACTCAGGGTGACCCTGTGCACAAGATAATCTTATTACCCAGTCTTGTGCCACCCCCATGATCAGTTTGGATCAAGTCATTGTGATCCATAGGGTTTTTATTAGCTAATCTTTCAAAGTAGAAGCACCAGACCTTTCTTCAGGTCCATGACCATTATTAAAATCCCAATTATATCTCAGTCTGTTAATTAAGCCTCCAGAGATCTTCACAATAGTCCTGCAAGGTAAGGATTACTGTCACCCTTACTTTCCAGATGAGGACTCGAGACCAATGGGACTTGTCTGAAACGCATCCAGTCAGTGACAAGCTGCATTCTCCCTTTTAACAAATTCATTGGTAGGGCCAGATGGCAAACATTGTAAGTGTTGTAGGCCTACAGTGTCAGTGTCAACAACTCCAATCTTAGGATAAAAGCAGCCATAGACGATATGTAAAGGAATGAATGGCTGACTCTCAAAACTATGAAGCAGGTGACTGGGACATGGCATGGGGTGAAGGAGTGGGAAGATGGCTAACTGGCCCTGGCCTGAGGGCCGTGGTTTGCCCACTGTTGCCCTTAATTAGTGCTGCTCAAGTTTTATCACAAGCAAATCACCTCGAGATCTTATTAAAATGCAGATTCTGATTTGGTCCTGGGCCCTGAGATTCAACATTCCTCAAACGCTTCCGTCTGATGCCAGTTCTAGTTTTTGAACCTCACTTGAGTAACAAGACTAGTCGTTCACTGCCTAATAGCGTATTCTCCAAGCCCCAGTATCTGTTGAACACCTGTAATGTGGGGAGGCTAAAATGACGTGTGGTATAACATAAATGCTAGCATCAAGTTATACCAGCTCGTAGTGACCCTACAGGACAGAGTAGAACTACCCCTGTGAGTTTCTGAGACTAATTTTACGGGAGTAGAAAACTCCGTCTATCTCCCATGGAGTGGCTGGTGGTTTCCAACTTCCGACCATGTGGACTGTAACTCGTTAAGCGAGGTGAAAGCCTTACCTTTCTCCCATGGTGCAGCTAGTGGCTTCAAATTGTGGGCCTTGCAGTTTGAACATAGCTCAACGTATAACCACTAGTGCTCCCTAAGTTCCTTACAACTTAAGACTTCAGACGCCCCTCATGTATTTCTTGTAAATAACAGCTCATGATGCTGTAACCTACATACCCTTCATTTACTAGCTAGCAAGGACAAAATACCCCCACCCAAAAGAATGAATATTACCTCTACTTAAAAACATTGATTACATGCTGGCATAATTATTTGGAGGTTAAAATAGTAATTGATTTTACCTGTTTTTAGTTTTGTGGTGTGGGCACTAGGAACTTCTGTTATATACATGGCTTATATTTGTGGTTTATATGATATTTGTCCTGGACAGCTCTGCTCTAGACTGATCCATCTGAAAAGCATGAGCTAAAACCAAGTCTTAAAAGTGATACAAGGAAGAAAATACCTTGAGTAACTGAGGACGCTTGTCTGGCATTTAGAGTTTAACCAGAATTTCAACAAAGACAGCGTGGGTCTGATACGTGTTGTATTTGCTAATGAGAGGTAGGCAGGGTGCTGCTTCTGAAGTGGCGGCCTATAACTCAGGCTCTGGTTTCTGAAAATTCATCAAATGCAAGAAAAACTCAGTAATTACTCTTTTGGTTTTAAAATGTAGACCTAGCATGCCTTGCCAAATGCCTAATGTGAATAGACAGCCAACTTTCCTTAGTTTAACAAGTTAACTTGAGTCTAATTTGATATCACCACCCCCACCGCACCCATTGTTACGTGTGTTACAAAACTGTCTGAAAGAATCTGGAATTACTCTTCCAATCCCCATTCAGCTCACTAGGAAAGACATCTTTTCTTCTGCATTTACCCCTTCAGAGTAACTTCGATGACTTAGAAAGCACACACATACAGACACACACTACTGAATAGGGCAGAGTAGAACTGCCCTTGTGGGTTTCTGAGACTGTTTTATGAATGCAGAAAGCCTCATTTTTCTCCCACAGTGCTGATTTCCAACTGTGACCATTTAATAGCAAGACGTGTAACTCACTGTGCCACCACGACACCTTCTATAAATGTGGTATACTTTTTAAGTGAATATCACACTTTTTTGTTTCTTTTAAGGATTTTATCCTTTGTGCATGGTTTTATCAAATATATATATATATTTAACATTTTATTAGGAACTCTTAACAATGGATATTATAATCCATTGTTCCATTAGATCAAGCATAGTTGTACAATTGCTGCACAATCATTTTCTAATCATTTTCTTGTGCATGGTTTTATCAAATATATATATATATTTAACATTTTATTAGGAACTCTTAACAATGGATATTATAATCCATTGTTCCATTAGATCAAGCATAGTTGTACAATTGCTGCACAATCATTTTCTAATCATTTTCTTTCTCCTTGAACTCCTTGATATCAACTCCCCTTTATCCCCTCCCTCCCTCACTGGTAGTCTGGGATGACTAGAGAAACATATCCAGAGACAGACACTCATAGGTGTATAAGAAAGAGGTTTATATAAAAGAACAAGCGTACATTAAAACGTTCCAGCCCAGTCCTGATCAAATCTGTAAGTTCGATATTAGCCTATATGTCCAATCCCAGCCTATAAATTCCTCTTAAGACTCATACAACCCATGCAATGATGCTGAATGCAGGAAGCTCACAGACCAGTGGGTGGAAAGCCTTGTGGATCCAGTGGCAGTGGAAGCATCTCAGTGTTGGCAGTGGTCTCCACATGGTTCCTCCAGCTCTAGGGCTCTGGGCCCATCAGCTTAGCTACATGTAGCTTGTCCACAGGAATGTGTAGCAGAGAAAGTGTCTGGCCTCTGGTAAGCTATTTACCTCTGTTGCACCTTTAAATGAGGTCATCAAGCTGAGACCTGATTGACAGGGTAGACTCCACCCCTCCCTAAAGTTGACAGGAAATTATGTAACTACCACACCTACCCTACCATCCCCTGAACCCTTAATATAGTATATCTTATTATTTTGCCATATCTTACACCATCCAATGTATCCATTCACTTAAAATTCTGTTGTTTGTTATCAAGTGGGGTTATACATTCGTCATTGCTACCCGTTCCCCCTTCCTCCCGTTCTCCCCTCTCTTCCCCTACCCTGATGGAATCATTACTCCCATTACTGTTTCTGTGGGGGCTATCTATCTTGGATTTTGGTTATCGAAAGATCTTATTGTACCAATATACATGCGCAGGTCTAACAAGATTAGTGAGGTAAAACTCAAGGCTGTAGAGTGGAAGGAGGAAATATTAAAGAACTAGAAGATAGATATGTGTTTCATCAGTGCTATGCTGAACCCTGGATACATCATCTTTCCATGTAGCCCAGGGGTCCTCAAACTTTTCAAATGGGGCCAGTTCACTGTCCTTCAGACCCATTGGAGGGCTGGACTATAGTTTAAAAAAAAACTATGAACAAATTCCTACGCACACTGCACATATCTTATTTTGAAGTTAAAAAACAAACGGCAAAAACACTAGTGGGCCGGATACATGTGCTCGGCAGGCCGCATGTGACCCGCGGGCTGTAGTTTGAGGACGCCTCATGTAGCCCTTCTTCTGTGAGCAACTGCCCATTGTCTTATAGGTGGGTTTGGGCTCTCCACTTTGTCCATGCTCTTTCATGACAATTTGATAACTTGTTTTTGAACTTCTGATACCTGTTTCCTTTAACACCTCATGACCACACAGGCAGGTGGGCTAGATGGTCGCTTGTTTAACTCCAAGCCTTTAAGATCCCAGATGCTATATCTTTTAATAGCTGGGCATCATCAGCTTTCTTCACCACATTTGCTTATACACCTATTTTGTCTCTAGGGATCATGTAGGGAAGGTAGCATACAGCGCCACATTATTAGAACAAATTGTTCTTATA